TTGGGGCAAATACTACTTTCCTCTTTACATTTTTCTTTTAACAAGGCTTAATATTTTCTTTTCCTTCCTTCCTTCCTCCTTCCTTCCTTCCTTCCTTCCTTCCTTCCTTCTTTCTTTTCATTCCTTTTCCTCTCTCTCCCCTCTTTCTTTCTTCTTTCTTTCTTTCTCTCTCTCTCTCTCTCTTTCTTTCTTTCTGTAAAGCTATTTATCCCCTTAAACTGCACAATATATACTTTTTCATTCTTTCTTGTCCATCTCCATCATTAGTACATGTGTTCCACAAACAATCATTTTCATTCATTTTATTAGCAAATAATGCTCTCATCTAGAAGAGTGCCAGGTTCAGGGTAAGCATTTGGTAACTTTTTGTTGAATGACTTACTTGAATATCACTGGGTAAGGACAATTTATATTCATTCTAATGTGTTTCCTAAGATGGTGAAACTTCGTTGTGCCCTAAAGACTTTCAGTAGCAAAGAGATCTAAGCCCTCTCACTGTGAGTTGAACCTTTGTCCCATAGACCAAAAGTGCCACATGCTCTACATGTAACTTGCTCTAAGGAATTTGATTTTGCTTTGCCTGTTTTTTGTTCAGTTTAGATTTAAAATATATTTTTTTCCATGTCTCTCTTATCTAGGTCCATTTTCCTCAGATTTAAGAATTACAAAGGCTTTCTTTTAAATAGTCTATAGTAGACTTTAATATTTTAGTAAATGAACTAATCAATAGCTCCACCCCAACTTGTAGTTTCTTGTCTGTGTCTGTGTATTCTATTACTGTGACAGCCTCATGGCTCAAACCTCCATTGTTCTAACCAGTACACCTGTATTTATCTCCAGCAAATAACCCTTCTTAGTCCTGTGTAGGACTCTGGCATACTCTGATCCATACTGAATATTAAATTTGTATTTATTTTGCTTTTGTTTCTCTTTAGAACTAAAGGTGGTCCACAGATTGCTTATGAACGCAGCTTTAGATGGAAACTTGCTCACTTCCGTTACTTGTGCCAGGTACTACAGTGGTAAATAAATCTCATTTATAATCATTTAGTCTGATCTTTATATTGTATGTATGCTGTGGCTTACATAATATCTGATATTATTTTTGCTTTTAGTCTAATGCACTACCCAGTCATGTAAAGATCAATGTGTCCCGGCAGACATTATTTGAAGACTCCTTTCAACAGGTAGGGAAGATAGTATCAAAATGAAATAGTGCTTTTGCCTCATTTTATTCTATATATCTTAAGGGTGTTAAAGGTTTTAGAGTTTTTAAGCCATTAAAATGGTTCCCACTCTCAGAGTGACTAATAATAATTATGTTAAAGCCCACCATGTACTAAGTGATGACCATTTGCTCAGCACTGGCGTATGATCATTACTTTTCATCCCTCTTCACAGCATCTCTGTGAAGAGAGCTCCTGTCACTGCCTCTGTTTTATAGGCAAGGGTGTTAAGACAGAGAGACAATTATTCCATCAAGAATTTAGGTGTATACTTAAATAAAGCTTAAACCGTTTTTAGAACAAGCTGGTCTGTTTTGACACTTATTTTGTTAGGACTTTATTACCTCAAGCAATAAAAGTTGAGAAAGTGCTAACATAATTAAGTTGGCAGATACTATATTCCATAGCACTGCTCCCTCACATATATTTCTTTGTTTCTTTTGCTGGAATGAAGTCCAGGGGAGCATGGACACTTGGTTTGCTTTGACTTTGTCCAATACCTAGAATAATGCCTTGAGCACAGCAGGTATTCAGTAAATATTTGATGAATGAATGAATGAATGTAATATGCCTGCCTTTTGGAATTATCTGCAAAATATTATTAAAATAATGTTATTAATATTATTAAAGGAATAATGCCATCTCTTTTTTTTTTGGTGAAGTGGAAAATTTTTCATGCCTTCTCACTGTCCTCCTAAGCAATGATTCGGACTTTCTTGTGTACTCAAATATGAGCTTTATTAATTTTTTATATTGGTCAAAATGGAATAATAATACTGAAGTCTAGAGACATTCACATCAGAGTATAATTTTACCAGTTGTTAAACTTTAGACAAGATAGTCAACATAGCTTTATCAAGACTTGTTTTGTGTGTAAATGAATAAATTCTTAACTAAATAAATTTTAAGTTTCCAAGAGGAACTTATTCCAAGCTCTATTTGACTTGTTTTTAGCAGGTATGGACTTAATCCATGTTAGTCATTATTTTGCTTTTCCAGTTTTGGTCTCTTTCGTATTGAGCCAATGACTGCCTTTGAAGGAAGCCTGCTCTGATCAGGTGTGCTCAGACCCAGACCTGTCAGTCTTGACTGTGGTTCGACATATAGTAGTAGCAATAATTCATTTTTATCCACAAGTAAAATGTGCTTACTTACTGTTAACTTTGATGTAAACTTTTATGAATTATGGAATTTTAGTTGGGTCTTCCCTTTAGGCATGCTAGAATGTATAAATGTGCATTGTCATCACATAAGTAAGGATTGCAGGTGAATGCCTTGATTCCTAAGAAATAAATGTACTTTAGGTAGGATTCAGAGAAAATTCTTTTGCCTCCTAAGTATTGCTACAGAGAAGAATTTACCAGTATACATTGAAAGATTTTGAACAGATTTGAGGAATGAGGAGAAAGACGGTGCGATTTAGTTTTAAAATCTTTCTGTGTCAAACTCTCCCTCTCTTGCCACTAGCCTAAAGTAGTACTACTGTTTAATACTACAAGAGGGGAAAGAGTGTATGAAAGTGACTCCAAAATTTTGATAGAGCAATACGTTTTTATCTAGTTTGTGGAACTAAACAGATGAATTCTAGACTTAAAAATGAGAGAGGGAAATGTGCAATTTTGAGAATGCAGATTAAATTTAAATTGAATTATTTTGGAAGTAACATGCAGTAGATGAGTATTTAAATTTTTACATTTTTGTTTTTAATTAGATTATGGCATTAAAACCATATGACTTGAGGAGGCGATTATATGTAATATTTAGAGGAGAAGAAGGCCTTGATTATGGTGGCCTCGCAAGGTAAAATTAAAAACCTACCTGTTTTGAAATAAGCATGTATTACTGTGTGCAGTGGATTTATTCTTTAAGAAGATACATGTACATTTTGAATTATCTTTTTCAGTAGCAGTCCAAGAGGTTTTTGTTTTGTTTTGTTTTTTGAGACAGGGTCTTTCTGTAGCCCTAGCTGGCCTGGAACTTGCTAAGTAGACCAGGCTGACCTGGATCTCACAGAGATCCACCTGCCTCTGCCTCCTGGAGTGCAGGAATTAAAGGTGTGAGCCACCACTCCTGGTGGCTCCAAGAGTTTTAAAAAATATTTTATTATTTTTATGTGTATGAGTGTATTACCTGCATGTATGTAAGTGCACCTATGTTGTGCAATGCCTGTGTAGGTCAGAAGAAGGTGTCAGATCCTCTGGAGCTGGAGTTACAAATAGTTGTTAGCGGCCATGTGGGTGCTGGGATCTGAACCCGGGTCCTCTGCAAGAGCAGTCAGTGCTCTTAACCTCTGAGCTATCTCTCCAGCCCTCTCCAAGAGTCCTTTTTAGAAACAAAAATATAGTCATACAATTCTAGAAGTAACAATTATTAGCATTTATTATTATTTGCCACATATGTATGTGTTATGTATATGCATGGTATGTATGCATACTTGCATGAGTGTGGGTACACATGTTTATGTGGGTGAATGTTTGTGTGTGTGTGTGTGTGCGTGCATGTATGTAGGCCCGAGGTTGATGTTGAGTGTCTTCTTCTATCTCTGTACACCTAATATGTTTTATCAGGGTCTCTCACTAAACCTGGAGCTTGACATTTCAGCTAGTCTGGCTGGCTAGCTTGTTCCGGGATTCCCTGTCTCCACCTTCCACATGCTGGGATTCTAGGCAGGTCACCATGACCACATGCTCAGAGCACGTGTTCTAGGGATCAGAACTTTAGTCCTCCTGCTTACATGGCAAGTGCTTTACCCAGTGAGCCATCTCCTAGTCCCAAACATTATGATGATTATCCTTCTGTACATTTCTCTACATATACATGTGAATTTGAATATAGGTGTGAAATGGCAAATATTTACTTTTTTTTTTTGGTATGTTTGTTTGTTCGTTTGTTCGTTTTTTTGTCTTTTTGAGACAGGGCCTCCCTGTAGCCCGCAGCTTGGCCTGGAACTTACTTTGTAGAGCAGGCTGGCCTTGAACTCACAGAGGTCCGCCAACCTCTGCCTCCCCAGTGCTGGGGTTAAAGGCACGTATCACCATGCCTGGCTTACTGGTATTTTTTGTAACAATTTTACAGTATATAAAATATGAGAGTTTGATTTGGAGACTGGGAGTATAACTCAGATCCAGAGTAGCTCAGTAGTTCTGCCCTTGCCTAACATGCATGAGGCCCTGGGGTCATGCCATATATACATTTGCCTGCACATCCATGTTCATATATAAGAGCTAATACTCTTTTATCAAAAGGCTGTATAATAGTCCATGTATGCATATAGCATAATTAATGGATTTACATAAGGTTATTGCTCAACTTTTAAATTTCAGCGTTGTATGTCAGTTTTGTTTGTGCTCTTAAATCTAATCTGATTTACTTGGAGATTGAACTTTTCTACATTTACTAGATACATTGATCACAGTAGACACTTGTGAAGCAACTAATAGAAAATCCTTTTTTTTTTCTTTATTTTCCCCCTTAGTTGCTTCTAAACTGGCAATGATTTTTTAAACCTAAACAGTTTCATCAAGTCTTCCTAAGAATTCATATTTTTTATAGAAACAACTCTCTTTGAATTTATATCTTACAGGTTTACAGAATGAGAAAATCACAATTTAGATATAACTGACAGAAATGCAGAACCAAGTTACAACTGGTGGAAGTAAATAATGTAATAATTTATGAGGGATTATCAGAGCTTTGTTTATATTAGCATATTTTTTATCTGGTCCAAAACATTATTAAGCTTTTTCAGTAAACCCTACCTATCACAGTAGATATTCACATTGTATATATATGAATTTTTCTGAATTTGAGAAATATTTAAAACATTAAAAGAAAGGTATATTTAGAAGTGAGAAAATGATTTTTTTCAGTGACTGTCCTGATAACATCCACATTCTTTTCACATTCAAATGTTTGTATCAAGTTTTATATTTTGACAGTTTTAATGCATGTAGTTAGTTCTATATCATGACTTTCTTATTCCTGAGTTCCTTATTTAATTCCTGTACTGGTTGGTTAGACTCCTCATCAAATTGTTTATTCAAGAGTTCCTGGGATAATATGTTCCTATAATCTTTGCATGTTTGAATTTTTTTTCTTTGTTATTTTACATATAAGCCACCACCTCCCTAGGTATAAATGTCTTGCACAGCATTTGCATATCTAGTATGCTGCAGGCACTGCTTCACTGTCTTTTAGCTGTGAATGTCAGTACTATAAAGAATGAGACCAAACCCTGTTCCCTAGATGCCTTTACTTTATAAAGGTCACTAATTTCATTGTGAATTATTTTAT